TTCGATCCCAGTCAGGGAACTAGAACCCATATGCCACAACTAAAGATCCTGCATGCCCCAACAAAGACCTGGCGAAGTCAAATTAATTAAAAATTTCTGGAAGGCACACCAAAATGTAAGAACAGTTAAAGCTAATTTATTTTATTTTTTAAATATTTATTTGGCTGTGCTGGGTCTTAGCTGCAGTACACAACTAAGTTGTGGCATGTGGGATCTAGTTCCCTGGCCAGAAATTGAACCCAGGCCCCCTGCATCCAGAGTGTGGAGTCTTAGCCACTGGGCCACCAGAGAAGTCCAAAACTAAGTTTTATTTATTTATTTAAAAAAATTTTTAAAGCAGGATGCTTTTAATAGTAAAGGGACGACTGATATAAGTTGCATGTGTCACTGTCATGTCCAACTCTTTGCAACCCCACGGACTGTAGCCCATCAGGCTCCTCTGTTTGTGGGATTTTCCCGGCAAGAACACTGGAATGGGTTGCCATTTCCTTCTCCCTAAAACTAACTTAAATAATATATTTTAACCAAGTATTATTTCAGCATGTTGCACTCACTACAACTCATGAGACCAACAGTGGTTGGCATACTGGACAGCGCCTCTTGACTCCAGCAACCTCCCCTATTTTTGGAGAAGGATGTGGCCCAAGTATCTCAGGAGAGGGCACCGGGGTAGAAAGGGAGGCCCCAAACTCCATCCCTACAGCTGGGCCCATCAGCCTTTCCCTTCATCCTCTGGTAAATACTCATGGCCTATGAAATAGATCATTTTATGATAAATACAATTCAAGGGGACTGCAACTTAAACCTACTTGAAATAGACAAGCCAGAGAGGAGCAGAAATAGATATACTTGACATCACGCGCTCTGCTCCGGAACAAAGACCAACGGGAAGGAACAGACAGGAGGTTCTGGGAGATCTCTGCATGGGAGGCAGGTCTTGATGAGGACCTCTGTGTGTGGCATCCGTGAGCAGGGCCACCTGGCTCCAATGGGCTATAAACACCCACACTCCAGCCCTGGGTCTGGTGATTCTGCGACCACGTCTCCCTGGAGGAACTGCCCACAAAAGCTTCTCTCTGCTTTAGAAGGCAAGAACAAGTCGTGCATTTACCCAGTGCTTCTAGTCTTCTTACTCGGAGTCGCCATGCCAACACACAGTCATAATTACCGAGGAACGCGCCAATAGTGGCAGCATTGACAAAGACACTATATCAGGGCCTGTGAGCTAAGCAAGGTCAGGCTCCTCGCGGCCCCCAGCTTCCTGCCCACTTCCTTTATTCCACTCTGATCCATCTCTTTCCCTTCATTCTCTTTCTCTCCCACCCAGATGGTCTCTGATTATATTTTCTCTGCAAAGAAAGGCGCTATGGCTCAGTGTATAAAACACTTTTATAGCAATTAGGAGACAGGTTCTCCTTTGAGTCCCGATTTTAACTTGTGGGAAAAGTCACTTGAACATCTAGGCCTCAGTTAGTTTGCTGTGAATGGGGAGAATATTTTTCGGACAGTGTCTATTCAGTGGGTGGGCGCCTGCATCTAATTTACCTACTAAATTTAGAGGCTGATGCGTGTCCAGTCAACTCTAAGATCTTCTTTATGATTAGCCCCAGAGGTACCAGAAGCTCAGGGAAACAAAAGAAGGTTCAGATCAGAGAGGGAGCTGGTTCTATCTAATACCCTGAGAACAGCAGGGCTTATATCTCCCCCCAGGAAGGGTGCAAATCTCAGAAAAGGAGCCAGGAGCCGCTGAATGGTGGCCTCTATCCGATTATAAAAAGATGAGTGGGATGGATGAGAACTATCAGACTAAGTGACAAGCATCCTGAGGCCCCTGTGAGAACAGGGACATGCACCCATTTAAAATGAGAGGTCAGGAAAAGAAGGCAGACAGCCATCACCCGGGCCCGACACAAGAGCGCCCCAATTTCAGAACACCCAGTGCACCAACATCTGAACTTACAAAGGAGATAAATTGGAGGCTGATGATTAGCATCACAAAATGATTATTCCCTTTGTAAAAGGCTTCACTGCAGGACTGCTTTAAATAGTGCATTTAAACCATGATCTGATTTGCTAAATTCGATTTATACACATCTACTGCCTAAGCTGGCGTGCGGCTGTATTTACATGTCTTCCCTTGGCACGGAGGAGGGGAGAGGCCAGCCATTATTTGGGGCCTTTAATCCTTGTAGACAGTAACTAAGCTGAACCCTGTTTTTCTTCCACAGCTGGGGCTTTAGCTGTAGACCGGCCTCAGCTCTCCACTCTGCTATGCCTGGGCAGAGCCGGCCCAAAGACGATGGTCAGGATTTGGATAGGGTCTGTTAGAGCCTTGCTGTCCATGGGGGCTCCTCACCAAGAAGCAGACCCCTCCCCACCTCCCCTCCACCCCCCTACACACAGGGGTGACAACTTTCCAGTACAAATTTCCAGAGAATCTGGTCTATGACATGCTCACTAAATGTATTTAGCACCAAGAGTTATCATGCCAGGGGTTCAAAGGCTACCTTTTGGGAGCCATGGAAATCTGCTAATCTGTATCAGTTCTGGGGATCTGATGAGCCATAATCTGTGACTTGTACTTAAGCTGCAGGAACCCAACCTGAGCAGGCTCAGAAAGGCTGGCTTTGCACCCAAAGAAGACAAAAGAATGGGTCTACCAGGTCTCACAGCAGCTGTGTGTGCTGGGGCCATGGGGAAACTCTCCTTACTTCACAAAAGGAGATTTGTAGGTCTCTCTGATCACATGTCTCTTCAAAAGAGAAATGACCCAGGGACTTCCCTGGTGGCCTAGTGGTAAGGACCCCGTGCTTCCACTGCAGATGGCACGAGTTCACTCCCCAGTCAGAGACCTAAGATCCCACACACAACAGAGCCAGAACTAAATAAAAACAAGAGAGAAGTAGCCCCTTCCTGTTAGGTCCAACAATGTGATAGGCAACTGAAAACTACCAAAAGGGGGAAATATACCACCCAGTTCACACCATCTGCCAAGAGAGTTCTAGGCAATTCATGGGCTCAGGGATGTTCAAGAAACAAAGTCCCTCCAGTGGACTGAAACCAGAATGTCTCTCCACCACCAGATATTCACAGACACCCACAATGAGGAGACCAGCCTAGTGCTAACTAGGAACAGGGCAAACATTTATAGTGGGGATGGAGCAGTCACTAAACACAACTAAACCACCGCTGAGAATCCCAATAAAGCCACTCATGAGAGGATGGAAACTGGATTGGGAATCAGGACTCCTGGGTCCCATTCTTTGCTCTGCTAAGCGAACTTCATGACTTCGGGGAAAATGAATCTCTCTGGGCTGGATCCTCATCTGCGACATGAGCCGCTGACCTACGTAATCACCAAGCCTTAAATTTTCTATAAATCTTGCAGAGGAAAAAAAAAATGTCCCTATCTCTAAAAATCCTGATGAGCTTCCTTTTTTGAACAAAGTTATAAATCATCGTGCTTTCTTCTTTCTCTTGGCTGCCAGGAGGCTCAGAACCACAATGTTAAATTAGAACATCTATTTTAGGCTCAGACAATAAAGAATCTGCCTGCATTGCAGGAGACCCGGGTTCAATATCTGGGTCCAGAAGATCCCCTCGAGAAAGGAATGGCTACACTCTCCAGTATTCCTGCCTGGAGAATTCCATGGACAGAGGAGCCTGGCAGGCTACAGTCCATGGGGTGGCAAAAAGTCAGACACCATTGAATGACTAGCACATTTAGGCCAAGAAGTTGGGGATGATGGGGTGACAGGAGAGTCCTCTTTTGTGAGCCCTCATAGGTGATGTGGGGATGAGGGCTTGGATTCAGGACGGGCTTGGTGTGTGTTTGAGAGATGAGACCACAACAGATGAATCCATGAGTCTGTTGTTATTTATGCAAGTGCAGAGTCTGTGGATAAGAACTGAGGCTTTGGGGAAGACAGGCCTGAATCCACCTCCTGGCTCTGCCACATCTTAGCTATATAGCCAAAAGCACAGAGGGAAGCATCACCCTATGTATCAAGCTGAGACTCCGAGGCATGCTTAGCAGTGGGCCAGGCACAAAGCAGAACTCAAATACAGAGAACATTAATGGAGTTTCTTAGTCTGTACAAAAACATAAGCCTGGAACCTGCTTTAGGGCAGAGGTTAAATTTTTCAACCAGGTGGACGTGGTTGGGGGTGCATTAGAGCCATAGCTCTGACCTGGAGGGGGCCAATTCAAAGTGGCTCCAACTGGCGAGCGGAGGACGCGACGGCCCCGAAGCAGTCCCGGATGATGCTAGCGGTGCCTCCAGGCCCGTCCTCAGTCCCCCACCACCGCGACGCTGCGGAGACCCTGCCAGAGACCGCCGCCCCGTCCCCGTCGGCGGGGCTCTCTGCTCCTCAGCCCCCTGTCACTCTCCTGCGCTCCGGGGCACACCCAGTCCGGGGAAGAGTGGCTACGGTCTGCTCTCCACTCTGGCCTCGCCGTTTCAAGTAAAACCGGGCGTCAGAAATAAGAGTGTGAAGCAGGCCCGGGACTCCGGGTTCCAACATAACCTCCCTGTCCCGCCTGGTCCGCTCCAGCCCTGCGGCAACCTGTTCGGGCCGAGGGGGAAGGCCGTCTCCGCCCCCGTCTGATGCAGGTTAAGAGAGGCGAACTCCTGCCTGGCGTCTCTATTTTCGGCCGCAACGGCAAGCGCCGGACTCCGCGTCTCCGGCCGGGTGGGAGCGCACGGAGCGGCCTGGGGACCCGGGGAGCCACGATGGAAGGTCCGGGTGGGAAGGAGGTCGGCGGCCGTTCCCCTCGCCAGCCGCCCCATCCCCCGGGTAATTAATGCCCGAGGGCCTGCCTGGGGCGAGCGGCAGCCGGGACACGGCGGGGCCGGGCGCACTCGACGCGCTTCCAGCCTCTATGGGCCCGCGGCCCGGCGAGCGCAAGGAGGAACCAGGAGGAGCTCGGAGGGGCCGCGACGCCGAGACCTACCTGGTGCCCACGCAGCCATCTTGCCGCCGCTCCTCGCGCTCTCAAAATGGCCTCCCGGGCCCCGCAGCGCGCCCCACCCGAGTCTCGGCGCCTGTCAGGAGGTCACGACTGCGGGCCCGCCGCCGCCTTTCCCACCGACCTCGGCCGGCCCCGAGGGCCTCCCGTTTGCTCAACCCCTTTCCTCAGAGCCCACGCTATGCGGCCGGCGGGCGCGTCTGGTTCCGAAGGCCGTAGGCCCGGGCAGTGCCCCGGGTATACACGAGGTGTGAAGGCTTACAAAGGAGTCTCGCTCAGCTTAGGCTCGCGCCCCGCTGCGGCCCTCGAGCCTGTGCCGGGAACTCCATTTTCTTCAGCTCCACCTTTCCCGGGCCAGCCGCGCACCCCCAGGCCGAGGGGCAAGGCACGGGCTACTGGGGGCCTCGGCCTCCCGCTGAAAGCCGGCGGTGTAGGGGGGAGACCGGGTGTCCAAGAAGCCAAGGCCGGAAGCGTCAGGGCCGCCATTTACTTGAGGCCTACTATGTGCTACCCGCCTGCTCCGCGCCAGCCCTGCCGAATTGTATCACAAAGCACCGCAAGCCAGAGTGTGTGTGGTTAACGGCCTCTCACAGGGCGTTGGGCGTGTGTGTGTGTGTGTGTGTGTGTGTGTTTGTGCGCGCGCGCCATTGGATCTGGGCTTAGGGAGGACCCGGCGCCTTTCTAGTGACCCAGGTTAAAACACAGCCGCTCCACCTTCCCGAGCTAGGAATCGCCCAACCCCCAGGCTGTCGAGCCGGCTCTTGGAGACAACTCTAGGCAGAGGTGGGGTGAGGGAGGACAGCTCCTTCCATTTCCTGGCTCTTGGCCACTCACCTTGCCTCCGGCGCACCCTCCTACGACAGAGCCCGTGCCCACTGCTACTTCGTGCCCGCGAAGAGGGCGCCGAGCGCAGGCGGAATGGCGCCAGGAGGCAAGCGCTTGCAGGGCAGTAGCTGCAAAACAGAGCGGAGAATCAGGAGCCCCCGCCTCCCCTTCTCAACCCATGCCTGCCTAGAAAGGCGCCCGCGTCCACTCGAAGGTCAGGTAGGGGCGTATGCATCCTCCAGGTCAAGACCACAGCACAGGGAGGCCTCTGGGCGCTCTGCGCGAGTCTCTCTCGGCTGCCCAGGACTCAGGAGGGAAGACGGGGCGGAGAGGAGAGGGAACTGGTGTACCGGCTAAGGGGGATTCCGGCCCGGCCGGGAGCTCCATATGGCCAGTGGGCCAGGCATCCACCCACCAGCAAGGGTGCCTTGAACCCCTAGGAGGTTCGCTAAGAGCTGGAGCCCCAGAAATGGAGAAGCGTGAGTGGGGCACCTGGGTTAGTGCAGAGGCTACAGCGCCCCAAAACACTCCTGGCTCCCCTCACAGATATTCATGAATCCTGAGATTCAGAACCTGCCAGAGCTGGGATGCCAGGCACCGACTGTTAGAAACCCCCAATCCCCGAACTGACAAGGACCAGCTGGTTATGCCCTCTTGGCCGAGAAAGTCAATCCCTATCCCACTCCTTTCAAGTCTGTAGACATTGGTGTGTCCTCACCAGCCCGCCAAGTTTGGACCTTTATACCCACCTTGCACCCCGCCCCCCAGAAAACTGGGTGCACCTTGGAGTCCTGTTTCGCCTTTTAATTCAGGGGCCCAGGGGGTAATGGCAGGCACTGGTCAGTTCTTCCAGGGGGTTCTGGACATCGTTTGGTGCTTTCACTCTGTCTCCAGCAGGTGGAGGTTTGAATTTCAGATCCAAGTATTCATGTACACCCCGGTTTGACCCTGAAGGTAGCTATCATTGACTTAGCACCTACATATGCCAGGCACTTTATTTGTATATTTTACTTAATTCTCACAGGACCCCTGGACGTGTGGGGACTATTATTCCCATTTCACAGATGGGGAAACAGAAGCCCAGAGAGATGATGTGACTTGTCAAGGATACACTGAGTTGTAATGGCTAAAGCATGTCCTCAAATCCTGCCTCACAAGCATGGGCAGCCCCACCCCACCCCTGCTCTTCTGAAATCTGGACTGCTGGATTATTAACCCATTCCAGGATAGTCCTGAGCCCTCCATCCTAGTGCCTCAACTCAGGATTGTCACCCCAAGGGACAGAAAAGGTCACAGAGGAGAGCGTGTTGTCCTGCTCTCCCCATGACCCGTGATGGAGAAATTCTGCAACCCTTCTGCCCCCCAGCTACCCCCCACCCGGAGGCATTTCCACCCTCTTTAGACTGGGTCCAGAACCTTGAGGGAACCTGGCAAAGTCTCAGACTGGCCAGTAATCCACTCCTGATTTTTAAAATCCCAGTCTACACAGTCAAAAAATTGGGTGACCTGTATTATAATCAAGATAATTCAAGCAGGAGAAAATGAGATGAAGGGGCAGGAGGGCACGATATTTTTACACATAACCCCAGTGGAGACCTGGGGGGATTCAGGAGCTATAAAGACGAGAGTTATGAGGAAATGCCCCTGTCTCTGGTTCTCCGCAAGAGATTTCAATCCCAACTGATAATCAGACAGGAAGCTAGCTATAACTCCCCCAGCCTCCAAGCTGAGAGTTGCTTTTTCTTTAAATGACGTTAATGTGACGTTAATGTTTTTTTTCTTTCTCTCTCTCTTTTTATGAAAACTCTATAAGAAGCAACCTCTAATAATTAAAAAATTATGTCCATTGGACCAGAGGTGAAAGAAAGATAAAGCAAAATGGTTGGGGGGGAAGTTTGGGCTTTTTCCGAAGAGGACCAGGGAGACAGTCCCCACCCTCAGCTGCCTGATACAGCAAAGATGGCACCTGAAGGTTTCGACGGGGTGGGTACAGCCAAACTGGAGAGACACTAGGAACAGAGGAGATGGAGGGAACAAGAATCTGAAGTCACACACACTCTCCAGGGGACAGAGGAGAAAGGTTCCTTTCAAAATAAACTCAAGTGGAAGAGTGGGAGACCAGCCTAACTTGGGGCAATGGCCATGGTACCCAGCCCCCCACCCTGTTCCAGTTTGCAGTCCATCCCCACCCTAACAAGACAGAGAAGGTTTGAGAAATGCCACTCTGCACATTCCTGCAACACACAAAGAACCCAGATTTGGCCAGAGACAGAGGAGAGCAGCTCCACTCACAGTACCTCCTAATTCATGGGGGGGACAAAAACTAGGTTGCAAGCTGATTGTGGGGGTGGGGGGAGGTGAGGCTGACCAGTGAGGGGCTCCAGTGCTTGTGCAGATGGAAACTGAAAGGAAGTTCTAATTAGCACAAAGCCGGCACCTTCCATTAATAGCTCCCCATCAGCTCCTGGATGCCGCTGATGGGAAGCAAGGTGCAAAGGCAAGTGTGAGCTTCATTCACCTGTCCCCCATCATTAACAGACCTCAGGTGAGATCAGAGCTGTCGTGAAGGAAGACCACCCCAATCCAGCTGCCCCACCCAAACAAATCTAATTACAGGTCGGGCTTCTGGGCTCACTCAAGGGGACAGTGTTTAACTTGATGCATCCACAAACATGAAATCTAAGAAGTCCTGGCACACACTCTACGCACATGACAGTCTAGATGGGTCAAACAGATCCATGGTAGGTGATAGCAGAAGGGGGTTGGGCAGGGATTGACTGGGAAGAGGCAGGAGGGAAGTTTCTAGAATGAGGGAAATGCTGTCTTGAGTGTTGGTTATGTATGGATGTAAACGCACTGTACACCTATAGCTGTTTCTATGTGTAAATTATACTTCTAATAATATATATGTAGGTGTAGAAGTATGTGGCAGCATATCTCAAACATATGCACACAAAGGTCTCAGCCGATGACCGATTTCTCCATAGCCTGTGATCTCCTGGATGTGAAGGTTCACACCCTTTTCAAGGGTCACAGTAGAGAAAGGGGTTGGAGCAGATGGGGAAGTGGAGCCGCACGCATCTCCCAGACACAGGGCCTGGGCTGGCTGGGTAGGGAGGTTGAAGGTCTGAATTGAATCAATTAGCTGGAGAAAACTTCAGAAAAGAAGTAAGGCCCTTCATAAAAACAAAGCCCCCTCCTTAATCCCCAAAGGCAATCCTCTCCCCCATTCCCATGGCCATTCCTCAGTAAACAAAGAAATCCCTCCTTCGACATCCACACCTCAATATTCATTAGGAGCGGACGTTAGAGACTGCATTTCAGCCTCTCTGAGCGCCCTATCGACTGGAAACCCAAGGACAGAGGACTGAGGGGGTCTCCTCGCTCGGTCTCTCCCTCTGCTTTCTCTCCACAGTTCCTCTCCCCTTCTCACGGAGGTCTGTCCTTTCTCTCCTTCCCTCTCTCCCTTTCTTTTCCTCCTTTTCTTCAAATTAGTGAATCAGCAAATCAAGGCAAAGACATCACTAACTGTACTTTGTTCATTTATTTTGACAAGTGCAGTTTAATTTTAATTATTTATGATAATACTTCATAGTAGACGAGTAAATGTGCTGGGGTATATTTGGTAACATTAATGAAGTCTGCCTAATAGGAACCTTCACTCCAGCACCCTGCCTGGAGAGCTGCCTGCTGGAGAAGTGGGGTGAGACCAGTGGTCTGTGATTGGGTTTGCAGTTTTTTTGTGGGGGCAGGGGTGGGGGTGGGATGGGGAACTTAATGGGTTTGAGAATTAGCGAAGGGAAAATTAGCCCAATTCTAGAGAAAAGGCGAATATGCGAGCCCATAATCATGTATCGATGTGGACTGTGTGTATTTAAACACCGAGAGAGCACACTTTGTGATAAGGAAGCCCAGGCGTGCACACATGCCACATGCATATTTACACATGAATCTCAAATATGCAAATCAGCAGAGGCCCAAAGAAATTAGGCTCTGGGCAATTAAAAATTGAAATAAAAATGGACAATGTGATACACAGAGTTCTATATCTCTTCAAAGTACCTTCTTCCTACTTATCCTATGTCTCAAGTGGGCAAACATGGTGCAAAATGTGGAAAATAATAAGAAAGGTAGAGAGGGTTTCCTTCACTGGTGACTACTTGAGAATGTTCCCTCCAGTACACACAATGAACCATGAAAATCAGGTCTCAATCAATGCAATGTTTGAAATGGGAGTGATCTTTTTACAGCTCTTCCTTAACCCTGCCACCATCCTTAACATGACTGATTGTCACGTAAGTGTATGATTCAGTTTACAGATCACATATATACAAGAGTGGGTATACTGTACATATGGATGTGCAGTCATTTGGTTCAAGCACACAGATATCTGGTACACCTCAAGACATAAAGCTCCAAAGCGTTTATGTTATTATCTACAATAATGATAAACTTATCATAATACAATTAATCTTAATTTTTAATGTAAAGAAATAGTTGACCCTTCATTTAAAAATAATAGGAAAAAAAAAGTACCTTAAGGTTCCCTGTTTCCTATCTCTGTCTTGCTTGCTCATACTCAGGGTGGTGTAAGGACATTTCAAGAGACAGAAGTGGTTACCTTAAGACCAACTCCACTGCCTGCCTCAAGAAGAGACCAGGATTCTCCCACAGTCTACAGACTAAATTTGGTCCAGCTCTGGGGTCAAGAATGAAAACAGTGATTGCTGGTTTCTCTTACTGGATGATTACAGTGGAAAAAACTGAGGCTGCTCCTCAAATAAGGTGTGCCAAAGACGCAGATAAAGGTGCCCTTTTCTTGGCATAGCCATGTGTGTGAGAGAGGGTTAGTAGAACCTGCCTGCACCCATGAAATGCCTTCTAATAACTCCCTGCCCTTCAACCAGAGGGATGTCGATCATCAGCTAGAGACACCTGACTCCCAGCCTTTTAGCCTGGCTCCAAGCTCCTCAAGCCCGTCTCCTTAAAGCCATGGCCTGGCTCTGGCGTGGGAAAGGCAGTTTGGAGCTTTTCACAAATCCAGTATCCCCTTGAACCAAAACCAATTAGCCTGGCCCAAGGTCCTGTCATTGAGGCCCTGGCCCTCTTTTCAAACCCCTGCGGCTCAATTGCGGTGAGGGGCTGGCCAGTGAATGCCGGGACCACTTAAAGTGGTGCTTAAGCCGGACCGGCCTGGAAGGAAGGAGCTAGCACTATAGGAACTGCGGCGGCCCATTCTCAGAGCCACTGACCAAGGTTTTGTTCCAGGCACAGCCCCCACCCCCAACTCTATTTTGAAAAACCTTCCCCTCCTCTCCAGTTCCCAGCTGTCTAGAGGAGAGATGAAAAGCTGGCTCTAGGAAGCCATGAGACACCCAAACTTGGCTACCCCAGACAGAGAAGACATCCCTGAGTTCTGAATTTTGTCCCCAGTCATCTTGCCCTCCCTGCTAAAGGAGGAGGTCTAACATTGATAGAGCTCCCACTGTGCACTCAGTATGTTCCATCATGAGCCTGCACACCAGCCCACGTTATGGATGATATTAAATCTAAGAGGAAGTGACTTGCCCAAAATCCACCTAAGAGCCAGGCAATTTGGAAGGGGGGGGATCTTTGAGAGCCCCAGAACACCACTCTGAGGAAAAGAGACACAGAAGAGGGTAAGAGGTTGACCAAGATGAGAGACAGAGAGGAACACCACCTGGAGGAATGGGAAAACTCCCGAAAGAGCAATTCCCAGCATAAGCTCAGGTCTCTACCAAGGCACTGCCCACGTCATCCATTCTCCCCCTGCCTGACTCAAGCTGAACTGACCCTAGGAAGAATGGGATTGGAGTAAGGATGAGGTGCCACAGCCTTCCTCCAACCCCCACCTGTCACCACCTTCCTGTCCAGGAGGATTGAAGACTCACCCTCTGTGATGGGCGGCACTGCCAGGGAGCCCTGACTGTCGCCATGGTGACGCGCATCCCACCCTAGGCCAGAGCTGATTGGTCACTCCATCCAGGCTGATGGAGGGGGGCTAAAGTCTAGGCGGGATGGGGGACCGAGACACCCCGAGACACACACACACACACGAGAAAGAGAAATGGCAAGGGGGAACTGAAGGCTATTAAAATGGCGCCGCGGCCTCTACGGGGCCGCTGTTCTGGGTGCGCACAACCGGGTTGGAGAAATCCGGGCGGTTTTCTTGACCGCGCCGCGTCGCCTGGGACCTGGAAGGCGCATAAATCCCGCTGGGGCTGCCCCGGGGCTCGGAGCAGACCACTCCCTGCCTCTCCCCGACCGAGGCGTACAGGACTGCACACCCCAGCTGGCCGGATCCGCCCCGCGCGCGGCACGTTCGGGCTGGGCGAGCGCGGCGGATTAGTCCTGAGCCCGCAGACCCGAGGGCGCGGGGCCCGAGCGTTTGGGGGTGTGAGGGCGGGGCGGGGCGGCGGCCGCGCCTCTAATCCCAGCGCTGCGTGTGGGAGCGGCCGGATCAGGGAATTAGCGCTGTAACTTCGGATTAGTAACGCTCGCTAAATGAGCGCCTAATTCCGACCCTTCATGCTTTTCAGCGTCGCGGCTGGGCCCTGAGAGGCCTTCTGGCCTCGCTCCCTCCGCGCTCAGGTCCCATTTCCCGGGAGGTCGGCCCGCGTCCGTGGAGAGCTCCCTGGCCAGCCTAGATCAGGCCTCTGGCCGCGCCGCAGCCTGATTTTCGGCAGCGCCCAGCGATGCCAGCTTTTAATTCGCTGGGCAGAGGCCCCGGCAGGCACTCCCGGTTGGGAGTTCGTGGACTACTGAGAAGGAAGCCCTTTATGTCTCACTCACCACGGTGGCTACCCTGATCCTTGCCCCACTAGTGGCTTGCCGTGCGACCTTTGGCGAGAAACCGGGCCTTACCGAGCTCGCTGTTACAGATGTCAAATGAAAGGGGTTAGGTAAAGAGCACCTTTGAGACACCAACCACTCCCATCTTCCAAGCTACATCTTTAATTACGTTCTCAGGCTCCCTAAAGCCTGTTTGAGTGGGTAGCGGAAACGTGGGGCAAAAGTGAAGCCCAAACTTGGGGAGCCTACTGGTCACAGGAGGCTTGGGGGAAGGCCTCCCTGGGGCATGGAGAGAAGAGCCAAGAAGGGCCAAGGCCCGGCTGGCTCCTCCAGGCCAGGGCAAGCCAGATGAGATTTGATAGGGTGAGGTATCGATTTTGACTCTGTGCCTCAGGCTTTCAGTGTCCAGAGGGGATGTCAACATGGCTCTGTCAGGGCCGGGCATTCATACCCTGAAGCCCAAATCCGGCAGGTTGGCCTCTTTACGAGGGCCACTTCTTAGTGGGTGTAGGGTGGGGTCCGGGAGATTAGGATGCAGGCGCTCTCTGTCCGCAAAAGCCCCGCCATGATCCTTTCCCTGACCCAGGGGTTTGCATCAACGAATTTTCATAAAAAGCGGAAAGAAAACAGTTTTCTCTCCTGCTCAGACTCCTCCTCCCCTGACCTAGATTTCAGGACTGACCAGAGGGTTTGGGACCCTCGTGTTTAAAAACAAACAAAAAACTCATTTGAATTGTGTAGAAACAGCTGTGAAGGTGCAAAGTCATCAGGCTACTAGAAAGACTAGTTCTTGCAAAATAGCAAAGGATAGGGATGGTGGGAAGGGAAGATGGAAGCCCGGGACCCAGGGCCAGCTGGCTGGGAACAGAGGCAGGAAGGGTTGCTCTGGTTTCTTCCGAAATGGGGTCATGATCATTGCACAGACTCCCAGGTGTGCTGAGAGGGGAGGGCTGACCCCAGGGATGCTGCCTGTGGCCTTCAGGATCCTGAAACAAGATAGCCATCCCCTCCCAGCCTCTTGCCAGGAAAAAAGGGGAGACTGGTCTTTCAAGATGGGAGGCGGGCATCGCACAGGATCCGTGAAAACCTTCTACCTGGTGATTATCTCTAGGGAGGAGAAGGGGAACAGAGGGAGGGCAACTTGAACTTCCCTACCTGATCTTTTGTTTTCTTCTTCTTTAATTTTATGTTCAATAACTAACACATTCAAGTGGTTCATAATTCAAAAGGTGATGTAGTGCAAAGTCTCTGTCCACCATTCATCTCAGTCTCACAGTTCCTCTCCCAAGGGCCGACAGACTTCCTTTCTGTACTGTCTGAAATTTTGCCTTTTACACATATAACCCATTAAAAAATTTTTTTAAGTAAAGACAAAACAAAAAGGCTCAGAGGGATGAAAAATGGGAAACGATTTCTGTAATTAAAAGAGGACTGGGCAGATTCTGGGTAAGAGGATGGGAACGATAAGCCATATAAACACCTGAGGGAGATGGTCTGGGAAGTGAAATGGGCAGAGATGGGAATAAGACCTGGGCCCAGCTCTCAATTCTGAGCTGGGAGACCCTGCAGGAATCACTCTAGGCCTCCTGATTTGTTTCCTCCTGTATAAAAGGGAAATAGGATGGAGGGCCGTGTCTAAACAGTGGCTCAAGTTCATTCCAGCCTGCCTGTCATAGCACTCACAAACGTACATTCCTAGAAAGCCCCCCCAGACTAGCAGGAGGTCTGAAGCCACATTGGCTTCTTTCTTCTCTGAAGCATGGCAGGGTGCAGGGCTGGGTCTACAGCCACTCATCCCTGGGAGCCTGGGAGGTTCCCAGGGCTTCCAGGACAAGTCAAGGTGCCTTGTGGGGAGGAAAGCGACCTGGAGGCAGATGAGGACCGCAGGAGGGACCCCAGCACTGTGTGCTGTGGGAGCCTGATGCCCATGCAGTGAGCAGGGGTGTGTCCCCACACCCCCACACCCAGCTAAGAGGGGCTGGGAACCTGAGTGGCCGGGTGTGCTGCATTGGGTTGCCATGGGAACGGAATGCAGATTTCCCCCAATTGCTTTTTTATTTGCTAGACATTGTAATACATCTTATGTTGCAAGGGGGTGGGGGGGTGGGGGGGAATAGTGGGAAGGCGCCGGGAGCCTGCCTGCACCCTAACCACTCCGGGAAGTTGGGGAGGCGCAGGCGGGAATGGCCGAGCCAGGGCTAGTGCAGAGGTTGGCGGGGTTGAGCTCCGTCCTTCCCGCCCGCTGGCTCGCCAGCGCTCGGTTTGTATGCAGGGCAGAGCCGGCCCGTCGGGGAGGGAGGCCCCCAGCCCCGGCCCCTAGCCATTGAGCGCACTCCTCGCCGGTTCTGCTCCGCTTCACGCTGCACACAGACCCCCCAACTGCACACAAAGGCAGCTGCCAGAGCCCGTGAAAAGTGATCAAATTATCAAGAACTTGACCTCACCGAGGGGCGAGGCTCCGGCAACCCCCAAGCCGTATGCTAATGACGCTCAGGGGCTGACTCGTCGAATAATTCGATAAAGGGCGCATTGTTAGCGGCAGGGCAGCCCCCCTGCCCACCCTTTCACTTCCCCCTACTCCCACCCCCTACCGGCCACTGTCTCTCTCCGTCCACATTTGCATCCCAAAATCCCCGTCCGCAGCTCCGGGAGAGGATTGTTCCAGCCTGATTTATGGGGTGAAGGCGAAGGCTGGCGCCTTCCCCGCCAGCGACCCCTCTGCAACCCCAACCCCCTCCCTTCCCCCGGCCCGCTCCACTTTGGGGTTCCAACTTCGGCGCTGGGGGATGGGTGGGGGCGGGGAAAGAGGAGGAGGAGTGGGGAAAGCTGGCGAGCTCCTCCACGGTTCGGAAAGTGTCTCGGGAGACAGCCGAGGTCAGGTACCTGGTCCGGGCGCGGGCGCTCCGCCGGGCTGGAGTCTGCTGGGCCGGCACTGGGCTCCTCCGGGTTCCTCGGGCTGGTGGGGGCCGGGGAGGCCGGCGGGACGGGCGCTCGCACGCAGAAGTTGTGAGAGTCATTTCTACTTTCGGTTATCTAGCTTTATGACGGCTCTGTGGCACTCATACAGCTAGATAACCAAAGAGAGAAACGGGCCTCCCTTCGCCACCGCCGCTGCCGCGCCGCTGGCCCCACGTGCCGCTGCCCACCAGGTGCGGAAACCGGAGAGGGCGCCGCTCTCGGAGCCGCGGGCGCACGCGGAGAGCCGAAGGGGACCGACAGACACACAGACACACTGACTCCCAACAGCCGAGGCCGGCAGCCCCCGCCCAGTCCCCTCCACTCCTCCCTCCTTCGCGCTCCTAGAGCGTTCCTGCCCGGCTCCCCGCGCTGTGCGTCCGGGCACCGGCGCCGGCTGCCCGCTCCGACGGCGCCCCGGGGCGCACCGAGGGCACCCGCGCGGCGCGCGTCGGCAGCCCCGGGCGCCCCGGCCGCCCCCAGCGCTCTGGACTGCCAGCCCTCCTCTCTCAGGCTAATCGCCCCGCGGGGAAGTGACGTCAGTCCAGGGGTTGACCAATCACCGGCTCTCATTCAAATCCCAGCCCCCTTCCCGCGCTCCGCACCACCCAGCCTTACAATGGCCTCGGCGTTCACAGCTTCCCCTCGGCGAGCGCAGGGAGCGCCCCCTCTGCTCTCAAAAGCGCTGGGGCTGCGCGCCTGGGTGCGCACCGTCTGGCCTTTCACCCCAACTCCTTTGCCTTCCCCCAAGTCCCTGGGAGCCTGGCAGCCACCGCGGACCAGCAGAGTTAGGGAGCTACGGTGACAGATTTTGGGGACGCGCTCGTGGGGCGTGGTGAAGGTCTCCCTAGAACGGCCAGGGATACGCGCTTGGGAGGCCGAGAGCCGAGACTAGGAGCTATTTCACCTTTGACTTCCCTTTCCCTCTTCCACGCCCTGCCGCTTACAGTCGACCCAGCCCCTGAGCCTGCCGAGACTGAGAAGGGAGGGAGGGGGTAAATATCCTGGTGCGCGTGGGTCGGTGTCCCACCCATTGGTGCGTGCCTGGCACCCAGAGGCTCCGGAGTCGTGCGACACTTGGGCCAGGCCCTGGCGCTCAGTACCAGGCTGCTGGATCCCTCCTCTCTCTGCAAGCCTGGGAACGTGCAACCGATTGTGTCCGACCCCTTGGAGAGGTCCTAGGCCCGAACTGCGATGCTGGTTACATTTCTGTGCCACTGAAAAATGAAAGCACAAAGCCTTGACTAGGCTCTCCTTCTAGGACTCTCAGCACTCGCCTGGCCTACACACTGCAAGTAGCTCCACAGGGTAAGGGGCTGCCACCCAGGACCTCCCAGAATCACACCCAAGTAAGCCTGACACAGACCTGGAGGCCCCATTGTAGCCTTGCAGAAGTGCATGGCCAGGGGCGGCCCTTCTCCCTCACTCAGGCCATCATCCCTTTCCTCCTTGATGCTGTGGCTACCCTCCAACCTTAGGCACTGAGATTCACCTTCCCACGCCAGACATCCCAGGGAGGCAAAAGATTAAATGTGAAAAAAAAAAGTGTTATATTTGCTCCCAGATACCCCCCGGGGTGGGTAGTGAGTCCAAGAGCTAGGGAGAGATTTGGCAGTGGAATAGACAGGTGGATTCTCCACTTTCATCAGCCAACACACCGGTTTTCTCCGACCAGAGGCTGCTGCCACTGAGCAGAGCACCAGGGAGGTGGGGCGGAGGTACCCATGCGGATCTATTTTCCTGGGATCCAGGGGCGCTGAGCCACTCTCAGCCAGGCAAATCTCCACAGGATGTGTTCCAAACAGGAGGGCCAAAGCGGACGGCTTGGAAAGGATTTCACAATTTTCCTAAATATCCCTGATCTCCCTGATCTTCCCCTAAAAACACGACACATTTCCATGTTGCCAAGTTCTCGATTTTGTCAATTCCTGTCGCCCCACCACTTGTCTCATCCTGAACCTAAATCCAAGGCAGCCTGCATCCCATTCCCACCCCAGACCGCTTTTGCCAGACCAGACCTGGTGTTTCCATATCTCCCCCCAAATCCCATTTTGCACATACATCCCTTTTTCCCCAGAAGGTGAAAAAGAACTAGACAGAACCACAAAGGGCGGAGGAACAGAGCGTCTGACAGCAGTCTCCGGGAAGGAACCACCTGAATTTGGGCCTGAGACAGTTAATTCCAAAGGATTACCATAATTGGGAGGCGCCCCTTGCTTCCCCTCCTCCAGCAGCTCCAGGAACCCGCACCATCTCCCCTTCTTGGTGTGTGTGTGGGGGTGGCCTCCAGAGCCCCAGTCCTCTGGGCCACCCCAGGGTGGGAAGGGTGGGGCTGCCGAGGCAGGAAGGGGTGGAAAGGCACTGCTCACCTGCGGGAGAGGAAGGGGAGAGAGGGAGCGTGGGGGAAGAGAGCGAGGAAGGAGCCCCTCGGAGTGTGATTTAACCAGGATGCTGCACAAAATGGCTCCTCAGCGAGGCTCACGGTAACACAGCAGCGGCGCTGGAGGCCCGACTGGCCTGCTGAGGGCGAGTAGGGGCTCTGGGAGGAAGAATTAAAAGCCCGATTTAGACTGAGTTCAGATGTGAGAGGCCACTGTCCTCAGGGCCATGTATCCGCTACCCTTTCCGAGAAACCGAGTCCTTTGGTGGGGAGCAGGTGAAGCCAGCCAGCAAAGGTCCCAGGCCCTGCCTGAGCGGGATGCTCCCAGAATGAGCGATCCCTCCACCTCACTTGCAGCTGGCCCTTTGAGCACTGCTACCAGGAAGGAGGCTACAGAAAAATCCGACCTTGAGGGCGCAGGCATTGGGAAGGAGACTGCTCTGGGGGGTCAGAGCTGACCGTGTTCTCCTCAGGCTGGTGGCCAGCCTCCACGCACAGCTTAGACGGAGGCCCAGGAAATGGTCCAGGTTGGAGCCCGCCTGGTGGAGGTGCATTGTGTGGGCCTGGCACCGCCAACTGAGGTGGCAGGCTGTTGAGCAGGCCGATTCCAAGCCCGACTGGGGAGAACCCGATCTGCCCTGGCCGAGATCACTCTCGTCTCTGCACAGTGGACCAGGTCTGGCATCTACATGCTTTGTCCCACGCCAAGCCCCTGGCCTTGGCGCCAGGGGCCCAGCACAGGCCTTATGGGGAAGCAGGCACTGGGGCTGACTTGAGTGCGGGGCGGAGAGATGCAGGCGTCGGTGGCGCAGCCGGGCCCTGGCCATGGTGCTGAGAAGCACCGCCGAGTCTCTCTTGCCCCACGCCCTTTGCCCTGATCGTCTTCAGCCTCTTCCCCCCTCCCCAACCCCGTCCCAAACCAAGCTCCAGAGACACAAGCAGCTACCAGGAAAAAAAAGGGAGCAACCCCTGAAGAGAGTCCTGTTGGCAGGTGACTCCTCAAGAGGAGGCTTCCCTCCTAGGCACCTCCCCCACGGGCCAGAGATTTCATTTTTCATACTCGAGTCTCACCAAAGGACAGAGAAGCTCATGGGCCCCTCACACCTGCATCTACAGAAATGCCCATTCCTGCTTCAGCCACACGTGCCCTGTAGCCCTTCAGAGCCACACAACCTGAAAACCCCTCCTCCAAAACCTGGCCCAGGCTCCCATCTAGCAGCCGGCCTAAGGCAGGTGGCAGGTCCCTTGCCCATGCAGGCACTTCTGTGCACAAGCGTGCACATAGCCACTGGCAACCTCAGCTGCTAGGGCTCCGAGATGGCTTTGGGCCAAATTCCTGTTTCCTCTTGGTCGTTACACCCCTCAGTGCGAGGGCCCTAATCACCCCACAGGAGTGTGACCCCCACTTTAAGACACAGTGAGTTAACTCGTTAAATGGAAAAAGAGTGAGCAGTCCTGACTCCAGCCAACAGCCTTGTGCTAGGCCCGTTTTCCTGCTACCAGACTTGCCCTTATCCAGAGGCCAGGAGCCTGAGACCCACAGGGCTCCCCACGCTCCAGCCCAGGCAGATGCAGCCACCAGACCTGACATTCAGCCTGGATCTTGTGTTCCCTTCCTGAGTTCCTCTGGGACTTAAATAAGAGACGACATCCCTGGTCACAACCCAGGCCAAGTCCAGAGTGCCCTTTCCCCATTCCCTCCCTTCCTTCCTCCTCCCTCAGGCTCAAGCTTTGATTAAAATGATCTTCCTATTGTCTGGAGTCTGGAAGCCAGTCCGACTGGCTCAGATGGACCCAGCTTCCTGCACCCAGGACCTCCACATCACCTTCATGTCCACGTGGTCAGCAGGGCTATGGTGCTGTCTATGGCTGTCACATCCAGCCTCTCTTTCCTCAGCAGCTAAAGACATCCAGGGTGTGGGTGCTGGGCTGACCCAGGAACCCAGAAACAGCCCTCCTGAAAAGATGTGGGCAGAGCAGCACCCTCCCGGAGGTCCAGCTAGCATCGTTGATAGAGGCTCCTGTGGTGGAGCTTTGCATATTACCCCCACCTCAGTGACCACCTGTCTCACCTTCGGGCCTCTGTTCCTTGATTGAAAGCCAGGCCTCCAAACTCCATTCTCTCCCTCTACACTGCTAGAGAAACCACCTTTTTCAGGGTAGGGGTGGGGGGCGCTCAGCAAGGAGTTCCCTTT